TTTTCATTTTCTCTCTGTTTCTTCCTGCTCATTTGCTTTTTGGGATTACCTCTCCCTGCCTCCACCTCCCAAACAAACAAACCCAACCCAGCCTTTGCTTTAGAATCTGCTTTGGAAGAACCCAAGCTAAGCAGCATTATAGCAGAATATTTGAGAGCGTGCATTCCAATCCAGGAAAGAAGCCCCTGCCTGGATTTGAATCCCAACTCAGCAGTTTAGTAGTTAATATGATCTTAAATTTAAAATTTATTTCTTTCTTCCTCAGTTTCCTCACCTACAAAATGCAGAGTGTAATAATAACAAATTCTTAACGTTGTGAGGAATACACAAGTCACTACAGTATAAATATAACGCACTTGAAATAGTATTTGATAGACAGTAGGTTGCATGTATGTGTTAGCTGTTATTATATCCCTCTAGCGCTTATTAAATTGTGCCTAGGAATCTTACAGTATTGGTTATTTTCTGCCTCCTCATTCCATTTTCTTTCCTTAGTTTAGCTTCCTTCTACCCCTCCCTTTCTTTCTTTTGTTTGCTAGTGCTGACTGAGTAGATAGAACAGCAAGTGTTCCCTGGAGCTCTGTAATTTCGGGAAGCATGTAAGAGGACTCTTCTTTTGTGCTGTACTCCATTTCTTCTTGCCCCAACAGCCCTGACCCCTGATCTGTTGGCAGACGCCGGATAATGCTGCCAGCTCTTGGTTATTCAGAGGCTCTTTATCCAGACTCTTTGCTCTTCTTTCTGGCTGCCTGCCTTTTGGCTGTTAGATGCTCCCTGGCATTGCTCTCAGAGGTCGTGCCAAGGAGGGGAAAGATAGTGGAACTCAGATTAGCCAATTATAGAGTCTAGAAAATTAGAATTTGGGGACCACTGGGTTTCAGTTTCAGAGCCATCGCTCACCTTTCTTATCGTGGAAAATTCAGAATCAGTCTTTTGCAATAGCAGTATATATTTTTTTAATGGAAATATAATTAAGACATAAAATGCAAAGATCTCAAGTGTTCAATTTGATGAACTCTGGTAAGTATATGCATTCTTGTAATGAGTACCCAAAAAATAAGATAGCACACATTTCTATCACTCTAGAATATTACCTTACGCTCCTTGCTTGACTCCCCAACTGCCCCAGCAATCACTTTCTGATTTCTAAGACTGTATATATGCTCCTCATCTTGGACCTCATATAAATAAATAACATCTATTTTTCTGTTCCTTTCTTCTTTTATTTGGCACGATTTTGAGATTCATCCATGTCTCTGTATATATCAGAAGTTTATTTTTGATATCTGAAGAGTATTTCATTATATAAATGGACTCCAATTTTTTAATCCAGTCTCCTGTTGATAGACAGTGGGCCATTTCCAGTTTGGGCCTGCTATGAATAAAGCTACTATTCATATTCTTATAAAATGTTTTTGTGTATATATTTTTTCTTTTGGGTAAATAACTAGGGGTGGGATTGTTGGGTCATAGGTAGAAATATGTTTATGTGTTTTTTTTACATTTTAATTTATTTATATTAAGCCAGAGTTTCACTCTATCACCCAGGCTATAGTGCAGTGGCACAATTTCAGCTCACTGTAACCTCTGCCTCAGCCTTCCAAGTAACTGGAATTATAGGTACCCGCTGCCATGCCTGGCTAACTTTTTTGTGTTTTTTGGTAGAGACAGGGTTTCGCCATGTTGACCAGGCTGGTTTTGAACTTCTGACCTCAAGTGATTCATCCCCCTTGGCTTCCCAAAGTGCTAGGATTACAGGCATGAGCCACCGTGCTTGGCCTGTTTAATTTTATTAAATGCTCCCCAACATTTCTTCAAAGTAGCTGCATCGTTTGACCCAGCCACAAATAATATATGGGAAGTTTAGGTCTGTAATAACTAATCAACATTTAGTGTTATCAGTCTTTCTAGTTTTAGCCATTCTTGTGGGTATGAACTTCTATATTATTGCATCTTCATTTTGCATTTTCTGGATGACTGATGGTTTTGAGCATCTTATATTTTTTCTCCCGGCCATTGCAATGTCTTCCTCTGTGTTTTCCATTTGCAAGTCTGTAATGGCAGTGTGGTCGGGCCCATTTACCAATGTTTTTGAGCCCTTGCTCTCAGTCACCCAGAATAAAAATGTGAGGGTCTGGAGTTCTATCACAGATACAAAAATGTTCAGGGAGTCATCCATTTAGTAGCAGATACTATCAATACTTGGCTCATAACTTCTTGGCACTTACTTTTCTAGAGCATGTCAACAGTGTCCTGGGACACTGTACTTGAGAGCTTTTTTTGGCCTGTATGTGGCATAGGCCAGAAGTGCCAAGAAATTAACGCTTCAAGGAACAGCCCTTGGCCAATGCAAATGAGAACTGGAGGTGAGATCCTTCAGCTTCCTCACATGTTGAGTGGAATAACTCCATGGCATGCTCTACTCTGTCTCCCAGAGTCCTAAGTGGAAGTGAGCCTCAGTTCTCCACAGGAATAACTTATTCAGTGATGCAAACTGACTGGCTCACTCTTTATCCCTACTGATTTATCCTACTGATTTTCTCTGCGATCATTTCCAAAATGAACTACTGGTACAGAAGTTCTTTTGTTGTGATATGCTTCCTAAGAAAGACTAATAAGGCACCTATTCTGACAGATGTGTGTTGGGACGTTAGAGTTGTAGTACGAAAGGCTAATTAAGAAATCTGGTGAGTTGTGCTGATGATATTACGATGTTAATTTCCTGGGTAGCCACAAAGAGGAAAAGATCACATGAATCTGGCAGAAAATCAGTAATGTCAGTGCCTTGTAGAAACAAAATTGCCTGGGGGCTGGTGGCTGAGGCTGTTGGAATAGGTTTACAGAAGTTTGAGTCTGGCAACTTCATTGAAGTGTGAATTGAGAGGAGGTGAAGACATCTTAGGATGTGATGACTGTGACAGTGGCATGAGCATGTAAGTCATTTGGAGTAACAAACTATCTGGAGCAGCACTCTGTCTGGATGTTGAAGTTATATGGAAATGAACAAAAAATAAACTTTGCGATGTCAGAATGAAATTAGACTCTCAAATGAGAGACTAAGAAGTTTTGATGTCATCTAGTAGATGGTAGAGAGGCACTGAATATTTTCGGCTAGGAGTAGTCATAAAATAAAAGCATGCTTTTAGAAAGACAGATCTAGTGTTATCGTGCTGAGTCAACTGAGGCTTAACGTAGAGGGTTCTTGATTCAGTTTTAGTGGCTCTGACGTAAATCCTGAAAAATGGTTAGTGATAATGGGAATGAAAAGTACAACATAAATTCAAGAACTCTTAGATAAATACAGTAGAATTTGGTGACACTGATAATGGCAGTTGAAGGAGAGATAAATGAGTCAAAGTTGTTCTGTCTTTGAGGAAACTGATTTTAAAGGTGATCATAACATAACAAAAGTAAATGAAAATAAACTGTGGGGAAGTGAAATCTTTCAGGGCTAAAGGTAAATTTTGTAGGTTGGGCTCATTTATTCTTTGAAGTGATTGTGTATGGCATACAAATAACAGGGATTTTTACATAAATACACAGCTTACGTACTTCGAACAAACCACAAATGTCTATTTTTATAAAAGTCTACTGTTACTTCCAACAGAAGTTTGTCCTACGGAGGTGTGCAATATGCCTACCTTTGTCATACTGTACCTCATTGAACTATTGAACTATTGAACCATGTGGACAGCATACATGGTAGGGTGGTGATGGAGAATGTGCATGGGGAAAGATAGACCACCAAATAAATGTGGCTATCTTCACAAGGCTGTGTTCTCCAGTTTTTGGTTTAAATATTTTAAATTGTTAACTACTATTAAATCACAGACTTTAATTTTATTTTCACTTTCCAAATACTTTTATGGTCATTGTGAGAGAAATGGCCTGCTTAGAACATTTACATCGCTGAGTTTTTTGCTTTCTTTTGGTTATTCCAAGATACTCAAACTTGTCTTCAGAAAATTGGTCTTCTACGTATTTAATGGTATCAGAATCTACCCCAATGGGAAACACAATCATGGACAAAAGTTTCTTCCCCACTGGGTTTCCTGAATATAATGGCAATGCGATTAGCACATTTTCCCAGTGATTGAGTTGGCATGTGCCCAGAGATTTATAAATAGAATTTATTGTGAAAGTTACTGTGCTACTGGGGTAAGTGCCTATTGCAATTTGAGGAAGAAAGTGTTCTCTGAAAAGAAACTATTATATGCCTTATATGCCATGGCCATCTGAGGACAAAGAAGGACAGAAGATACAAGTGAGTTTTGTTTTCAGTGAATTCTACCCTGTGCACAGTTATGAACAACCAGATATATTTAACTTGTAAAAAGTTCATATTTTCCTACTCCTCTATTTTCAGTTATGTTGGTAGAGCAGGTTGGGGGTGAATGATGATTTTGAATCCTTCACCATTTTACTGTCTTTAGAAAGCAGAATGGTGAGCTGTATAAATGTGTCCAGATTCCTGCTAATGTCTCCCAGGACAGCAATAGACTCATGGAATTTAAGGCTTATTTGGAGTTGAAAACCAACCTGTGCCTTAATCCAGTCCTTGTAAATGAAGATTTTTGTTTACTGCCTTCAGATAAGTCTAATGGTGAATTTCTGGGGTGAACACTATGATGAAAGGTCGTTTATTTAATTGAAAATATCACTGTCACTGTCACCGCTAAAACGTATCTCATTTCTGAAGGCTGGAGTTGCATCTTGCAGCTAGAAAAAAAAACTGTTTTCAATAAGATCAATTTCAAAGGGCTTTGTGTTTTGTGATCCACTCAAAATTCAAATAGTGAGAAAATACTTTTATCCTAGTCAGAACAGCATTTGATGCAGTATTTGAACAGTATTTGAGGCATCCTCTTAAGCCATCAGCCATTTCTCTTAATCAGCTAAGTCCTGTGCCATGGTCATAATGAGAATGCATGCTATGGTATATTGCTGGTTCAGGTATAATAAAGAGCTATCTTCACATTGAATTTCTTTCTTTTTGATAGTCTAGCTCTACAGTGAGAGCCTATCAAACTAGTAAGTCACGAGTGACCATGAGCCCTGGCTTCAGCTCCCAGTGGAACAGCAGCCAGCCAGCCTGGAATACCTACTCCTTTCCAAGAGCAAGCCTGCACTACCAGTCCCATGCCAGCTATACCTACTGTACTGGACACCCTGCTGTAAGTACCTCATTTCTCTGTATTTTGAAAATTGGATGTTTATGCAGTTACATGTTGAATCTAGAGTGGGTATCTATTAATTGGGCTGTTTTTCTAATACTATAACTCTTCTAAGGTAAGAATGTGCTGCTCTTGAGTAAAAGAGATAAGAATTTTAAAAAGTCTTTTAAGTGTTTAAGTAACATGTGTTTGGATGGTTGTCGCTGAAAACTGATATTGCACTAGAAGTTATTTCTAAGATGTAGTGTTGGTGTAGAGACTGGATGCACGTCTATCTCTAGTTTTATTCTTCTGGTTTCCTTCTGACTGTTGCATACGAATTTAGTTGGTTGCTTCTGTGCTGAGACAGGGTGTCTTTCAAAATGGGATAGAGAAACCAGTGAGGGGGAGATCCTGAATGTCCCCACTTTCATCAGTGACCTCGTTGACTTATTTATACAGACATAAATATGTGGAAATAGATTCATCAGTAGGGTATTTTCCAGTTACTATTACACAGACATCTGAGGTTGTTGGCTTAGATGACTCAAAGGGCCAGGAAAATAAACCTCTAGAGGGGAAAAATTAATTCATGGAATTTGAGGACCTTTCAGAATAGGGTGCCTGTTTCACCAATATGTTTTTCTGTGTTTCGATTCAATCCTCACGAAATAAAATGTTTGTTTTATTGCAAATTACTTTTTGCATACTTGAAAAACGTCATTATTAATGTTGATTAGTAAGATTTCTCTTTATTGCTAAGAACACATGCACAGGACTCCCAGAAAATGAAAGACCTTTGAAAGTGAATCACACATGCCTCTCATAGCCAATCGTCTAATTGGTGAGTCACAGTAGGCATGAATTCTGCAGCCATTTCATTCAGAAGACCTGTCAGACTTCAGCTATCCTGTTTGCATTTTAAGGTTATGGAATTATAAAGTACACAGGGCTTCGAAGTTGACAGAATGTGTCTCAAATATCATGTCATAATTTCACTTAAAAGAAGACTCAAGGAATTCACTTAAAACGTAAATTCATATGACTTTGTTCATAGACAATTTGGAAATAACTATCAAAGTTTAAATTTGCACATACTTTTAACTCAATAATTAAACTTTTGGCATTTAATTGGACATGTACAGGATATATGCACAAGGATAGTGTTAACAACCATTTTGAAATTACTTGGACCTAAATAACCATATTTTCTTTTCATTTATCTTTTAACAATTTATTAAGAATTATTAACCATTTAATATGTTTCAGTATTTTTCTAGGTGAAATAAACACAAGAGTGAACAAGACTAAGTCTTGCTCTTATGGAACTTCTGTTCTAGAACATGCGGAAGTTAGTTATTATATAAATAAATATTATAAATAGATACAAAGAAGCAAACAGAAAAGAAAATTATACAACGATGTTATTTGCTAAGCAAAATAAATTCTACAGAGAGACTTAATAAATTGAAGTAACAGAGAACAACTGAGTGGCTACGTGAGATTGTGTGGTCCACCAAGTTCTCATTCAGTAAGCTGGTTTTATCCAAGATCTGAATGAAAAAGAGATATAACTAAGCAGAGTTTGGGAGGATGTGCATTCTAAGCAGAGGAATCAGTGTGAAGGATCTAAGGCAGGAATGAGCCTTGTTCCCTCCACAGGGAGAAAGCCACTGGAACTTAGGAGAGAATAGAGAGATAAACTCAGAGAAAGACACAGGGGCCACTTTATTAGGATTGAACAGTAGCACTTTGTAATACCAATAAGAAGTTTGTATTTTATTTAACTGTGATGGAAAACCATTGAAGTGTTTTAAGCAAGGAAATGACATGACATAATATTTTTAGTACTCAGTCTGGCTGGTAAGTGGAAAAATTCTGGTAGAATAATAAGAAGTAAAGCACAGAGTCAAATTAGGAGAGTATTACACACCTATGTGTGACTGCAAGAAAACACTTTCTCTTGTAATATCCTTTGATCCATTTGATGTTCAAAATATATGGACGTTGTTTCTACACAGCTAGTGGCTCGAGACTTACAACCACGATTGGTTCCGATAGGCCAGTCGTAACACGATTTGGCCGTAAGTTGAGTAGGCTATATGTACAGTACTGTGAAATGATGTTATAAAAATCTTTAAGTCATATTTTATCATAATTTTCTTTCATTATTATATATCATAATTTTCTTTGTTCATTTTATGCCATTTGTATCATCTCTACCCCATTTTGTTTCTTATTTTTACATTCGTCAGGTTTAAGTAAAACACTGCATTACTAGTACAACTGGTTCAATATTTGCAAAACATACAAAATTACAAGATACAGGTGCATACAAAAATACAAAATACAGGTGTAAAAAATACCATAGGAAAGTTTTTCCCAGTTGCAAAACATGTCAAAATATATAAACGTACGAAACATTTTATTGGCCGCTGGTGCTTGGCTGCGGATCGTTGATGTCGTCATCTGAGGCAGCAGTTGGGGTTACCGGAGTTGGTTTTTTCATAAACATGGTGAGCTTTGTCTGAATTGTATGTTTCTTTTTTTCTTCATAAATTTCACGATACGGACGAAACACTTCGTGCGCCATCCGTTCAATCCTTGCAAATCGTTCAATGTTTGGGTCCATTGCTTCGAAATGTATAAGAAGTTTGTTCAGTAAAGATAAACCGTCTGGTAATCCCTTAGTGGTGAACTTTCTTTCTGGCTCCTCCTCTTCTTTCGCCTTCCACCACTCTTTCTTCTACCAGTTCGATTAGCTCTTCATTTGTAAATTCTCCGGATTCTTTGTCTAGCAACTCTTCGACATCTTCCATTTCACACTCCAAAGAAAGGTCTTTAGTGATTGTTTTACTATTTTTTCCCCTGAATCGTTTCAAGTTCATGTTCACTGTCAAATGCATCAAAATCATTAACATAGCACTTAACACAATTTTTCCAGATGCCATTCATGCACTTTGTCGTCACAGCCTCCAAGGCAGTAGCGACATTCTTGATACACATCAAAATGTTGTAGTGTTTCCAAAAATCTGCAGTGGAACAGTCGTGGCTAGCGATTGTGGTCATAAAGTCGAACGGTCATAAGTTGCGTAGGTCGCAAGTCGATCAATACCTGTAATTTAAAAAAAACCAAGTTGCATTTATTTTGCATAATTTTTTCTTTAGTAACGAGTTTCATATCTGTCTCATTAGTTTGTTCTTGAGTAGTTATTTGTCAAGCCAGAAGATGAAAAGTTGTAATTTAATAAAGTATTTCAATTCATATTCTTATTGGCTTCTACGTCCTCTAAAAGTAGCTTATATTAATTGAGCACTTAATGTCTTCCAAGCTCTGTACAAAGCACTTTTACATGCATTTTACACACACACACACACACACACACACATGCACACACACACACACTTTTTTCAAAACAGCCGTAGGAAGTAGTTACTATTATTATCATTTTAAGGGTAAGTGAAATGAAGTTCAGAAAAATTAAGTATCTTTCCCTAAGTTACGCAGCCAGAAATGAGGCCTCAGATTCAAACATTGGCTGTCTAGCCTCTCACTAGTATTCTTATCCATTGTATTATACTGCTCCTTGACATTGAATCACTGTGTCTGTATTCACATGCCAAGGACAATTACATAATTATATCCCAGATAGAACCCTTGCTAATCATTTAGTTTAAATGTGCATGTTACTCTTTAGAGAAATATTTGCATTTATAGGATACTCGATTTTATGTCTGGGAGTCAGAAGAAACTATAGGTGCTATCATGTCTTAGAAACCACCAGGAAAATTACAGGTTATCTATCTACTTTTTGTGCTTTAAAGCCCAGCAGATGATACTTTCTTTTGTCCCACTGTTGTGAGTCAAGTGAGTCAAATAAGAAAACTAGAAGCAAAAGATTAGAAAATCCTTAAAAAATAGTCATGGGTGTTACATTTCTGATTTCAAGGACACTCTGAGGATCAAATTTAAAGCCTACTTGGCATTCTTTCATTATTCCAACATTTTAACTTTCTTTTCAATTTTCTTCTCATGCCTGATCAGAGAGCATTAAACTCTTGACTCAGAGATCATTGCTCATTTAACTCTGCTACTGCTTTGTGAAAGGAATTATGTAATCTAAAAATAAACCAGAGGTTCAACATAGGGAGACTCTGAGGGCTGGGTTTGCAAGACAACATGCAAAATATTGACTATTTCATAGTTTTTACTTGAGTCCATTTTGCAAGAGAAATATTTGGGGCTTCAAAATGTGAGAGTGGATTCCATAGTTGCTGTGCAGTCTAAGATCCACAGAGGTTTTGTGGTTAAAACCACAGAAATGGAATTCTTGTCTGAATAGATTCCCAGTGATTTTCTTGAGTCATATAATTTAGTAGCCTTTAATGGAGCTATAAATGCTCTGCCTGCCTTGTGAGACTCATGTCCTTTTCTCCAAGTCACTAGTTTGATTGAAGATTTCCAGTTTTTTAACTGGATTTCCTGGAGTTACAAGGGTGTCAGCCAATGTGGTATTTGTCTAGTAAGTATATATGACCCAAAGAGCTCCCCTCTTCCTCTCTTCCCCTGCTTCTGAGGAATCCTGATATCTCACGAATGTCTGGTTAGTTAACTTGAAATTGGTAACCTTGAGATTTTGTTCTCAGATTTAATCTGAGATTTCGTCTCAGAATGCAGTTAGATCTCTGCCTGACCAAGTAAGGTTTTTCTCAGAGCTCTTTTGTACATCACTCTGTTAGTTTCCTATGACTGCTGTCAAATTACCACCAACTTTGAGCTAAAAACCTCATGTCTATCTTTTACAGTTCTGAGGTTGGAAGTCTGAAATGAGTTTCACTGAGCTGAAATCAAGGTGTTGGTAAGGCTATGCTCCCTCATGAGGCTCTAGAGGAGAATCTCTTCCTTGGCCTTTTCCAACTTCCAGAGCTATATTCATTGTAAATCTTGGCTCATAGGGCCGTCTTTCATCTTCAAGGCAGGCAGCAAAGCATCTTCCAATCTCTCTCTCCATCTTCATATCACCTTCCCTCTCTGTAGTCAAATTTCTCTCTGCCTCCTGTTTACAAGGTAACTTGTGATTTCATTTAAGGACCCACCTGGCTAATCTCCGTGTCTAAATACTTTTAACTTAATCACATTTGCAAATTTTCTTTTGCCACATGAAGTCACTCGCAGGTTCTGGGGATTAGGTCATAGACATTCCATGAACCATTATTCACCTTACTATGATCATAATATTCCATGACTCAATGACTAATTTCTGAGTCAGGAGGTAAGTATTTGGGGCTTCTTGAAATTAATGAGGCTTATCTTACTGAGGGAGATAATATGAGAGGAATTATTTGAGTGTTGGAGGATGAAATCCCTGTGGCAATTCAAAATTATTTAAACTCACAAATACAAGTTTGATTTTCCAGAAATCCACTGTTTTCCACTTCTAAAATGTAGTCAATGATAACTATCCCCTTGGTAACTACTCCAATACATATGTTAAAAGAAAATACAAAGGCTTACTAAAGCTTTACCAGTGTTTTATTCACTGCACTAGTAAGTGAAGAAGCAATTTCCAGGCATCTAGAACGCCCTCATCAACTTAAATAATAGTCAAAAAGTGGCAGAAAGTAATATTCAAAATATTCAAGTAATGCAATAATATAACTTTTAAGTCAAATATTAAATATGACAATACCTTTTATTTTTCAAGGAAGCTACTAATATGTGATATGAATTTCTTAGTCATATTATTTGTAGCATATTTTATTTCAAAAATTATTCTTCAAGTTTCCAAATAGTATATATGGAGTAGTGTATTGGTGTGATCTTTCATT